TTTGCTCCAAATTATGCAGGAAGTCAATGATAAAAATGTGCTTTATAAAATAATTGTAGGTGATTTTAATCTTCCACAAATAAATTGGAGTAATTATACTTCTGTAATGGGACTGAATGATGTTGGTTCTATGTTCATCGAAAAAGTACGGGACTGCTTTCTCATTCAACATATAGAGGAAATCACCAGGATAAGAGGAGACAGCACAGGCAATATACCCTTGACCTTTGTTCAGTAACGAAGAATGTATAGTAGGAGATATCAAGCTGGAGAGTCCACTGGGAAAGAGTGACCATGCCTGTATTTATTTCCATTGTGGCATACAGGAGATGGAAGACAAAAGTAAAAAACAAGTGTACATGTAAGAAAAAGCAGATTACCTACTGATGAAGCAAAGGCTTACGATGGACTGGATCCAATACTTATCATTGGAACCAGATATTGAAAGTAAGTGGAATAAGTTCAAAAGAAAATTCCAGGCAGTCATTGACGAGTGTGTCCCTAAAAAGATAATCAGAGGACTGAGGGTTAGCAGATAAAGAACAAATGAAAAATTACCTATGAACAGGAAGCTCTGGGCTAAAGTGAAGAAAAAACAGAGACTGTGGGAGAGACTGAAAATAATGAAAACGAAGTTCAATGAAAGAGCATGCACAAGGGAGATGTATCTGGAAACTGAAAAGGAATACAGGAGATTAAATAACCAGGTCAGATGGGAAACTAGAAACATCTTGAAATGCAAAGAACAAGAGATTGCAAAAAATGTTAAGGCAAATCCAAAAGTGTTCTGGAAGTATGTACAGACAAAAACAAGAACAAAAGCTAGAATTGCAGATCTTTACAAGGATGGGGGAAAAGTACAGAAGACTGTGAATGCTCAAGAAAAGACAGATGTACTCTCAGAGCAATTCTCACGAGTTTTTATCAAGGAACCAGATAGGGGGATACCAACAGCCAACAAGAAAGACATGCCAGCTCTTCAACACCTGGATATAACCAAGGGCAAAATAAGAAAGGTGATTAAAAAATTGAAAGGACAAAAGTCTCCCGGTCCAGATGGGTTACATCCAAGAGTCATTAAGGAGATGATGAAGGATTACTTCAGCCTCTGAGGATCTTGTTTGAAAGCTCTTTTCAAGAAGGAAATATACCTGAGGACCTGGCGTATTGCATATATCACAGCTATCTATAAGAAGGGAAGTAAAAGTGAACCAGGAAACTACAGGCCAGTCAGTCTAACTAGTGTAATCTGCAAATTAATGGAGTCAATATTACGAGAAGAGATGATATCCCATATGAAAAAATATGGATTGTTTAGTAATAAACAGTTTGGCTTCATTTCCGGCAGGTCAACAGTCCTACAGTTGATTAGGGTACTAGACAGGTGGATGGAAATTATCGATGACAGTCAGGCTGTGGACATAGTGTATTGTGAGTTCATGAAGGCTTTTGATAGAGTGCCCCACAAAAGACTATTAGAAAAAGTATCTAGTTATCGCATTGATGGAAAATATCTTGATTGGGTAAGGATTTTTTAACTAAGAGAAAACAGAGGGTTGTGGTAAATGGAGAAGTATCTGAATGGAGAGAGGTCACTAGTGTGGTCCCTCAGGGTTCTGTCCTCGGCCCCCTGCTGTTTGTCCTTTTTATCAATGACCTGCCTGAGGAAATTAAACACGACAGTGAGGTATATCTATATGCGGATGACACAAAGATTTTTAGGAAAATAGAACGAGATGAGGAATTGTGACATGCTGCAGGAGGACTTGGATGGGATCAGGGGTTGGACTGAGAAGTGGATGATGAACTTTCACCCAGAAAAAAGTAAATACATGAGGATAGGAAGAAAAAAAGTTGCTGACCAGGGATATCATATGTACACCACAATCAAGAAGACCACTGTAGAGAAGGATATAGGGGTAGTCATCGATGATAAGCTGACGTTCTCTGACCATCTAGCTGAGAAAATCAACAAGGCTAATAAAATAGTGGGCATTATTAGAAGAACTTTTGTTCATCTGGATGCACCTATACTCAAGGCTCTGTACACTGCTCTGGTTAGGCCACACCTTAAGTATGCTAATCAATTTTGGTGCCCATGTCTCATTAAGGATATAGAAGCAGTAGAGAATGCACAGAGGAGGGCTACCACATTAGTACCACAGATCAAGGATTTATCTTATGAGGAAAGACTAAGGAAATTACAGTTACTAACACTGGCGTACAGAAGATCTCGTGGGGACCAAGTGGAAACATACAAGACAGTGTGTGTGGCATATATGACCAGGCATGCACAGCAGGAATGTTCCAGATGAGGGAGGTTGACACTACCCGGGGGAACACAAAGAAGATCTACAAAACAAGAGAGAGGCTAAATCTCAGAAGACATTCGTTCCCGAGTAGGGTTGTCAACAACTGGAATGGGTTACCTGAGTGGGTAGTGAATGTAGAGACGGTGGAAAAGTTTGAAGCAAAATTAGATAAATACTGGAAAAATCAACAACAAGTATATAATTATAGGGCACAAATATCCGCCACACACAGCCACCGTCTGAGCTGGAGTCACAGGCGTGAGCCTCTTCCAGAAGGTCATCTGTGAGTATCTGTGAGTATCTGTGAGTATTAAATCTAAATTCTGGGAGAAAAGGGTTTTTGTCCTAAAATCCTGTAAGAAGCAATTAATAGTTTTGTACAGTATGTAAAAATTCATCTGTGTATTCTTGTATTTATATTGTGTTTCTGTTACTTTGGGGATTGATGTAAATTTAATATTGCATTTCTTTGAGCAAGATGTTACATTTATTCCTACTGTTGTTTGTGTATTAAATATATGTACAGTGGTCCCTCGGTTAACGAGCGCCTCGGTTAACGAGATTTCGGTTAACGATTTACCTTCCATAAGATTCTTAACTTTGGTTAACGAGCAATCCCTCGATTAACGAGTTTTTTACGAGCCGACTTCAACATGTTTTCGCTTGCATTTGGCGGTCCACCAGCTGTAGTATTAGTCCGCCAATACAGTAATCGGTTTTAGGGCTTAAATTCCTTACTATTTTAGTAACTATCAAGAAGTTTATACTATTCAATAATTTTAAAAGTTTAATATTAACTTTTTTAGTCATTTTAACAATTATTGAACAGAATTGAAGGTAAAGAAACTAGTTTCTGGCGTGCCATCCAGCCTGTTAACACACCAGACAGGCGTTAGTCTCTCTCTGTTTTCAGTGGAGGGAACATCTTGCTTGAGACTCTCTTCAACTAAACGCTTTTTTTCTGTGTTTCCAAGCAAATTATTGGTCATTTTGAAATATATTTTACATATTGACAATATATAATGCAGTGCAGTGTTGATTTAAAGAAAATAATCTTGAATTACACCAAGAGAGCTAAAATTTTATGGGTGAAATGGCACCATGGGGTGACTTCTCTTCCACCCCAATGCCTTCTCGTCTTCCTTCTCCTCCACCCCCATTCTAATTCCCATCATCATCCCCCAATGCCTTCTCGTCTTCCTTCTCCTCCACCCCCATTCTAATTCCCATCATCATCATCATCATCCAGGAGCCTTCTACATACACACCTCAAAGTAAGTGTACTTTTCTACCTTTTTTGTTGAATTTAGGCAATTTTCAGTGAGCTGGAACCAATTACCCAAAAACCCATTGAAACAATGGTTTCGGTTAACGAGTTTTCGGTTAACGAGCAACCTGCTGGAACAGATTGTGCTCGTTAACCGAGGGACCACTGTATCTGTCTATCTACCTATGAAATAATGCAGCGGGCATTAATGTTTTCTGGTTGATAGTTGTCATCTAATAATTGAGTCCAAAACCAAGAAGAGGACTGCTGAGAGTTGCCACATTAGGATGTCTCACTGACCACATTGGATGAGTAGACGCTTTGGTTAACCCCTTCATTACGGGAATGCTACCCATGATATTTTATTTGGCTAATGCCATACGATTTTGCTCAGCTCAGAGCCGACTTCTTATTCAAGGGGTTATTGGCACAACTCATTCATTCGAGGTTTGGTGTTAGGTTAACTACCCGATACAAATTAGTAAGGTTGTGGACAGTATGGTTGCCGGCTGTGGATCACATTTCCTCCTCCGTAGTGATGAGTACTGTACTGTATACTGTACTGTTAGTAATTGTATTGTGTGAGCTGTCTTCTCTTATATTATAGTGATTTTGCTCCATTGGTCTCAGTAATATACAGTATATTGTAACTGATTTAATTGCTTTATTTAGGATTTTTTCTGATACAATAATGGTGTTTTGTTGTGTCAATGGGTAAATTTTCACAACATTATATTAAGTTATTTTAATCTTTGGCTTTACTTTAACTGTATTTGAGACTGACTTGTCTTCAAATAAATTCAATTTCAATTGTTTATTCCTTGATCGAGGAAGCGGGATCCTAGTGCTGTCACTAGGTACCCCTGTACAATGACACCAGAAGCATCTGGCAAGTGTGACAAGTACATACAGTATAAATATTATAAAGGGGCTTACTAAAGCCTAAGGAAGGAAGGATATTCCTTTAACACATAATCAATATTATTTACAAAATATCTGGCCAGTATGTGGAGGATCATCGTGTCTCCGTCAGGGGGTCGTGGAGTGGTGGTCCAGCAGGCATCACGGAAGCGTTGTGTGTGGGGACATCTTAGGAGGTAGTGAATAAGGGTGCTGCTGTCGGGTCTTCTGCATAACGCACAAGAGCGTTGCTCAGGGGATGCGGGGATACCAATCTCCCAAGCAAAGTCATACCCAATGATGATACGGGCAGCAATCACGTCCCCTTTCCGGACTGACTTGTCTTCAAATAAATTTCACAGTAATGTACAGTAAAGGATATTTTAGTAATGAACCCAAAAGAAGGAAGAGTTAATATAGCACTGTACTGCAGCGATACTCACAGCAACAAAACCTACAAGTTAATGAAAATCTTGATAAATCACAATAAGAAAACAAAGATAAAATTTACATATACATACCTGTAAAGAATCTCAGCTCTTAAGTAGTTTCCAATACCATTAAAATATTTTTGATTCAGCATTGCTTCACATATAGGTTTATTGAAGGCAGCAAGGTTGAGATGAGTCATGACATTTTCTCTGAAGCTCTGGTATTCCCACATTGGGTCTGGTCCTCGGTCAAGACCCCAAGTGTCCTTAACTTCCCATCTACCAAAGCGACGGTAGTCAACAAAACTCAGTACCATTGGGGTGTCTTCATTTAAAGTGAAGAATCTGTAAAACCATTATAAAAATGTTACATCCTTCAAAATACACTTAAAATGTGATAAAAGAGATACTGTATTGTAGTGTACAGTATAAGCATCTATTACAGTACTGTATTTGTAAAATGACAGGAGTTGAGACCAAACAGTTTTAAAAGTACTGTACAGTACATACTATACTGTACAGTGCAGTGATAAATAATATGGTATTATTTTACTTTCGGACAACACAGGAATCTTAAGAATTTTATCTTTACAGTACCTGGTAGGTAGTTTTGACAATTCTAAGACACTTTTCTTCTATGGCATTACTGGTGCAAATTACAAATAAGCAAGATATTAAAAATTTTATTACATAACTAAAATGAGTCTATTGGTGGTTTTCTTTTTGTTTGAACCAATCACAGTTCAGCATGGTGTGTGGGTGGGAGTTGCGGGTGAATTTAAATAGTTCCAAGATGGCAAACCCGTGTTCTGGATGTGTGATCAACTACCAGTCAGCAATAGCAAGGTTCTACGGGAATAACTACAGTATGGAGTTAATGGTGATACTTACAGTTCTAGAGATCACACGGCATTCTACCTACTGAAGTTCAGTGTCCTCATTATCAAGAGCCTTGCATGTTAAGGGAAAATAAGCCTCAGTGGTACTGTGAACATTATCAAACCATCACAAAAACTACGAAAAGAAAGAGGTGTACTCTTGTTTCAAATTACAAAGGCACTTTGCTTGAAGGTTCTCACCTCGAGCCTAGGAAATTGCTTTTATTTGTAAACCACTAGCTGCAAAAGAAGTGAGGCCACCGTACGGTCAGCAAGTGTCTCAACATCTCTATTAAAATGGGTGTCGACTGGCAAAGCCCCCAAGTTAGTGATTAGGTAAGTTAGGTTTGGTTTTATATTGGAAAACACTAGATTCTGATATGAGGGGAAGCTATCTCAAAAATAGTGATTTCCAATAGAAATGAAAGTCAAAATCATTCAAAATATATAAAAAAAAACATTGGAAAAATATACAATTTCAACTTCCAAATCTCATGTTTTTGTCTGAAAGTAAAAAATTTTGTGCATCAATACCGTCCACACAGATTAGAATCTTTGGAACAACTTCAAAGATAAACAAATATTCTTGAATCATATTGCATATGCTGGATTTTTTTATTTATTTTTGCTATAACATTGACTAAAACTGAAACATGCCCTGAAAATATTCATACAAAACAGAATGATGGAATACATAAAGATGCTGTCACTTGCCGTTTCATATCAATAGTTATTTTAGAGGCAAGAAAGAAGCCTCTGTAAAGGTGGAGGAGATGGATACGGTAGCACCAGAAAAACTTTATGGAATTGCACCAAATTTTCTTAAGTTTGGATGATAATAAGCAATAAAATTTAAGCAACAACATTTCAGTATTTTTTTTTCTTTTTAGCCTATCCTTCAATCATAAATTACTTGATAGTGGGCAGGGCATGAAAGAAAACAAAAATAACAGGGTAAATACATTGCTAACACTGATCATATGGCAGTAATTTCACGTCTCAACGACCCTTGTAAGCATAAAATAAAATATTTAGTAATTCTGGAGCAGATGGCTAACACCAGAATGAGGTTTGATTTTGTTAATTTTTTCCACAAATGTTCTTTGGATGATAGTATGTAATAAAAATTATAAGACAATGCACAGACCCAAATAGAACGTGACCTAACCTACCAAACAAACCTACCTAACCTTACCTAACTTCCTGGCCATGGAGGCGCAACCCCCCACCATATTAAACAGAAAGTACAAACTTTGTTATTTGGTACCAGTAAAGGAACTTTCTTGAAGCGGCTTAGTGTAATTCTACACTTTTTGTGGATGTGAGAATATGCTCGGTTCGAGGATAAACAAAGAGTTGACGGCAACACACACCGACACAATAGATTTTTAGCGGAAAATTTATGATAAATAATTAATTTCTTAACATACAAAGAACATAAGAGATATCATTTTAGTGTCATATGATCTGTTTTTACTGTATTTTACCCCACAATATCCCTCATCCTTCATACCCTGCACACTACTGGTAATTTATGATTGTAGATAGAGAACAACTAAATAAAAAGTAAAAAAATACTTATGATTAAAATAAAAAGTTGTCATACCATTTTTATTACTATCATCTAAATAACATATGGAAAAAATTAACGAAACTGAACAAATCTTTCTGGTGTTAGCCATCTACTCCAGTATTACCAAAAATTTACCATAATTATGGCGCCATCGGATTTCCCATGGCGACCACGCTTTGGTTCACATCATCTGCTATACAGGAGCATCCGTGGTCATTGTTTCCATGTTAAGAAACAAATGCTGATCTTATTTGGCATATTTAATACAATTTATAATGGATTGGATTCATTCATTATTCTAGAGATGTTGTTTGGAGGACAGTCAGAAAATCGAAACAACAATGCAGTACAAGTGAGGTTAGGTAGATTAGGGAAGGTTCAATCATTATCCAGGTTTTAATAGGTTCTTTGTATTCTCACTTCCATTTTCGTGTTCAGTATCATACAAATAGTTTTCGGAAATTTTGGTTCAATGCCATAAGTTATTTGTGGTGCTAACTGTCTACCCCACCTTTAACGAAGTCTCCTTGTATATAAAGTTCTTTCAGATATATGCTCCTTCTAACGAGTCATTCATCTACAATGTTACTAAACCAGGTAAGATTCTCTTGATAATCTCACCTTAAGTGGGAATGTTTTGGTATCTCCTGGACAGTTGTAAATTTAAACGAACCAGACATTCCAAAACGGAAAACAATATCCAGGGTTTTCTCTCCTTTATGTTCTTCCTGGCCCTCACATAAGGTTATCTTGAGCTCCTTGCCTCTGGAAACGGCCTGGACGCGGTATACTTCTGCCTCCCATTCTACATCAGGATTTTTTGTAGAAATTTCCGACTTTATTACTCGTCCACCATAGCGCCTATTTTGACTCACTGTATTTATGAAAAGTGATGCCAAGAATAACTCGGGTCCTTCAGGCATGATGCTCTGTATACACTCACGATACCAACCACACCACCGTCTGTTTCTGTTATGCAATTTCTGCTGTGGTTTACATCAGTCTGACATCCGGATTCCAGCTTTATAATCCACTTAGTAGTGTATCGTATATGGTTGGATGTGACAGGTAAAATATGTCAGGGTTTATGCTCAGACTGTGTTCCATACCATTTCCTGTAAGATTTTAACTCACTCCGTTTTTCTTCAGAAACTACACTGGGTAAAGGTGTAGAAGAGGGTGACCACCAGATGGAATTGTCCGAATTAGTTGAAAATTTTCTCTGCACACTAATATCATGATACTAAACACAAAAATGGAAACGACAATGCATAGAACCTAATATCATGATATTAGTGTGCAGAGAAAATTTCAGCCAATTCGTACAATTCCTTCTGGTGGTCACCATCTTCTACACCTTTACCCTACACTGGAATCCGAAATTTTGTGACCGGGTTAACTCCAAGAAGTTAGAAACTACTATTATGCGACAATTCGTCGTGTAACGTGATGGTCAAATCGGTGAAAAGTCTACATGTAGAAAAAAATGGAATTCGGGTTGTTAATCTACCCAACTGCGTAACTACTGTTTACAATAATGTGACTGGTGTTTATAATAGGTAAATCAGGCAAATAAATTATTGCGTCTTATAAGAAAGTCGTCCAGATATCTAGACGGGCAGTCCCTCGTAACGATCTTCAAGAGTGAAGTGCTTCCCCATCTAGAGTACTGTCACCCCGCCTGGTCCCCGAGATATGCTAGGGACTGTCAGTTGATTGAGAATGTCCAAAGGAGGGCCACCAGACTGGTGCCTGCACTTCGGCACCTCAACTTCCCTGAGATTTTGGAGCACCTGAACAACCTTAGCTTATACTACAAACGGGCAAGAGACAACCTAATTGAGGTGTAGAAGCATCTCAAGGGGCACTACTCAGTCGAGTGCCCTTACTTGGAGCTGGCGGACGCTCGCCCCACAAGGGGTCACAGCTCAAGATTGAAGAAGCCGCAGGTCCAGAAAACTGTGAGGGCAATTTTTTTCGTAGTGAGAGTTGTGAACTCTTGGAACAATCTGCCAGAAAGTGTTGTGACGGCACCGAGTGTGAGCTCTTTCAAGACAAGACTTGACCAACACTGGAGCAGGTTCAGGTACATTCAGGAGCCGGTGCATGCCCAGTACTTGCCAACAGTGCTTAACAGAGACGTGACCGATCACCCAAGCGGCTAACGAGCCGATCAGTGGTGAAGAGAATAAAGGTAAAACAAATAAATATTCGGCACAATTCTCTTCGAAAAAATTCTGTCAGCCGTAAACTGTAATAGCTACAAACCTTCACTTACCTTCTCTTTTTGAAGAGTCCAAGTGGTGTAAAATTAAACTAAATGGAAGGAACTTACTTATTGTCGGGTGTATCTACAGATCCCCAAACTGTGGCCGATTAAATCAATGGAACTTAAGAGCCTTAATAGACAACGCAGCGAAGCTCAACCCTAGCCACCTCCTTATCATGGGGGACTTTAACTATGGCGACATCGACTGGAGAAACGAGTTCACCCCAAATGACTTGAATAACCCTGCTACGCTTTTTGTAGAAACTCTGAGAGATAATTTTCTGTTCCAACATGTTAGAGACCCGACACATTACAGAGGGAGCAAACACCCAAGACACTAGACCTCATCATAACAAACGAGGAGGGTGTGGTGGCCAAACTGGAACACCTTGCCCCAGTTGGCACCAGTCACCATATAGTGTTGTCATTCAGATTTAACTGTTACCTAGTTGAAGATAAGGCCAGGCCAAGGTGCAAATATTACAAGGGAAATTACAACGGGATGAGGGAAGAGATAAGGGGTATCAACTGGCCAGCCTCATTAAGGCACAATAACGCAGGCACTACGCTGATTATTATAACTGGTAAAGTGACCCATTTGATCGATAAATATATACCCAAGACCAACCCAGTGCCTCTAGGAATACGAGGGGATCCCTACACATGAACCATGCGGCGGTCGACAAGGTTAAGAAGAAAACCCAGAAATTCAAGACGTGGGTTGGGTCAAATGATGAACAGGACAGGAGGATGTATACAAGAGCCAGAAACCAAGCAAAGATATAGTGTAGAAGGGCTGAAAAGGAGTTCCAGAGGCTGGTTGCAAGCGAGGTCAAGTCAAACCCAAAGGCGTTTTACCGCTATGCAAAGTCGAAATTAAAAACGCGAGTAGGAGTATCATACCTGAGGCTTGAAGATGGTAGTTACGCAGATTCTGACCAGGATAAAGCTGAGGCATTGAACAGCTTCTTTTCCTCGGTGTTCACAAGAGAGGATGCGATTAACCTTCCTGCTTTTGAGGACAGACGGTTCGACACAGCACTGACCCACATTGTGTTCACAGAAGAGGGTATTAGAAATAAACTGTCCAGGCTAAAGGTCCATAAGAGTCCCGGCCCTGACATGGTGCATCCTAGAGTGCTAAGAGAGCTGTGCAACGAGCTTGCCGAGTCCTTGAAGATCCTATTTTGTAAATGCCTGGATGAACAAAAGGTCCCCAGTGATTGGAAAGTGGCTTATGTGAGTCCTATCTTCAAGAAGGGCGATCGTCACTCCACGAACAACTACAGACCGGTGAGCCTGACCAGCATAATATGTAAAGTACTTGAGAGTATTATCAGAGATGCCGCGATGGAACATCTATTATACTGCCAGACTGGGGTCACTAAGTCTAAGGGGAATAACTTAACTCTATTCTTAATTTACCTAGATTTTGGTAAGGCTTTCGACAGTGTACCCCACGAAAGGCTGAAAATCAAACTGGAAGGGTACGGAATTCGGGGAAATGTCCTAGCGTGGATAGAAGACTTTCCACATGACCGCAAGCAGTGTGTGTTGTGATTAATGGCACGAAATCATCATCCGTACCTGTCACAAGTGGGGTACCACAGGGCAGTGTATTGGGCCCGCTATTGTTTGTTTGTTTCATAAATGACATGCCTGACGTTGTACACTCCCCCATACAAATGTTTGCCGATGACGCAAAGTTATTTCGGGAAATCTAGAACCAAGCGGACTGTGAAGAGCTGCAGAAGGATCTCTGTGGGCTCCAAGAATGGTCAAAGAAATGGCTGCTAAGATTCAATGTCACGAAGTGTAAGAGGATGCACCTGGGGCTTACCAACGGTAAGGAGGTGTATCATATGTCCCAATACGTTGAAGAAACTGAACTATTTAAGACTAAATGTGAGAAGGACCTAGGTGTGTATGTTGACAATGAGCTGAAGTTCTCGGGCCATTGCGAGAAGGTTTTTTTTTTTTTGCGGGAATTAGCCCACCCGGGCACAGATCAAACGACCCACAATGGGGCCTGGGGGGCGAAAAAAAACAAAGAAATTAAAGATAGAGAACAAAAAAGTTATATTGTGTTAATCTATACCACGAAGATGCCGGAAAACCAGCTTGTTAAAGTGAGACAGATTATAAAAGTATGGAAACACAGAAGAAGGCAGAGCATTCCACAGTTTGGCTGTGTGAGGAAAGAAGGAGGTACTATAACGGGTTATTCTCGTGTGACCGACATCCACAGAGAACGGTGGGCACCGCGGGCAAGACGTGTGTTACGAGCCCACGGCCCTGCCGGCGGTATACAGGATGCCAAATCCACCGAACATTGCCCGTTAAAGTACCTGTAAAAGAGAGAGAGTGAAGCAACATTGCGGCGAAGATAAAGGGAAGAGAGATTGTCGACTAAAGGAGGAGAGTTAATAAGACGAAATGCCTTTGATTCCACCCTATCTAATAGTTCGGCAGAAGAAGAGCCACCCCGGATATGAGAGCAGTACTCCAAGTTAGGACGAATGAATCCCTTATATACTTGGAGCAACTTCTCGGGAGTGAAGTAGCTACGGCATCTGTACAGCATTCCCAACTTTCGGGAGACAGCTTTAGCTATACTAAGGATGTGTAATTTCCATGACATATTGGAGGAAATGGTGAGTCCTAACATATTTATTTCAGAATTTGGCAGGATGATAGCGTCCTGAAATGTAATTGGTGGGAGATCATCTAATTTACAAAGTGTAATTGGTAAATATTGAGTTTTATTACTATTGAATTTAACCAAGTTTGTACCTCCCCCTTCAGAGATGCTGCACAGATCCGCATTGATAGAGGTAATGATATCAGTTCTAGAAACAGATCTAGTTTGAGAGTTAGGAGGAAGGGGAAAATGTAAAGAAGAGTGAAGAGTAGAATCATCAGTGTAAAAATGGATAGAATTAGTTGTAGTGTGAAGTAAATGATTGATAAAATGAAGGAAGAGAGTAGGTCAAAGAACAGAACCCTGTGGGACACCACTACTGGTAGAGAAAGAGCGAGTGATCGAACCCTCGACAACAACTGCCATGGATCGGTTCTCAAGGAAGCTAGAGACGAGAAAACAAAGTGGGGGAGAGAAACCAAGAGAGGGAAGTTTAGATAGCAAAGACTTATGCCATACACTGTCATATGCTTTGGAGATGTTGAGGGCCACGACAAAAGTTTCCCCATAATCCCTAAGAGAGGATGACCAAAGATGGGTGCAATAGGAGAGCAGATCACCAGTAGATCTCGCCTGGCGAAAGCCATACTGGTGATCCGACAAAAGAGAAAGGCGTTCAAGGTGACGGAGAAAATTGGAGTTTAAGATAGTTTCGAAAATCTTAGAGAAGGATAAGGTTAGGGCAATGGGGCGATAGTTAGAGGGATTAGACTGGTCACCCTTCTTCGGAATGGACTGAACCAAGGCATGCTTCCATGAAGAAGGAAAAGTTTGAGTTTTGAGGCAGAGGCGAAAGAAGCGAGTAAGCACAAGGGCCAGGGCTTCAGCACACTCCCCCAGAACACGAGGGGGTAATCCGTCCGGTCCATGCGCCTTACTCACATCCAACCTGGATAACACACCGGCAACCCTACGAGTGGAGATTATAGGAAAGTGAATAGGTTCAGTAGGAGGAGGACCTAGGTGTGTATGTTGACAATGAACTGAAGTTCTCGGGCCATTGCGAGAAGAAGGTAAATCAGGCAATTAAATTATTGGGTCTTAGAAGAAGGTTGCTCAGATATCTAGACGGTCTGTCCCTCGTAACAATCTTCAAGAATGAAGTGCTTCCCCATCTGGAGTACTGTCACCCCGGCTGGTCCCCGAGATATCCTAGGGACTGTCAGTTGGTTGAAAATA